CCCCCCCAAAGGGGAAAACAACGTACCCATCGGGGAACTCCTCGATGAAGTCCTTCGCGTTGGCAAGCTCCGCCGCCTGCACAACCTTATCCATCGTAACGCCGCCTCCCAACTCCCCAGCCCCCTCCGCCGGAGCTCCCCCGTTTCCTTTAGCCGTCGCCGCCGCCGCTGCCGCCGCCGCCCCGTACGCGATGTTCTGCGCGATGGTCCTGCGTCGATGCCGCCGAAAAAAAACATTCGGATCCACGTGCCAAGCCACGGGCGGCAGTGACAGTACAGCAAGCAACACGCGGCGACGGCGGTATCGCAGCGTGGAAAAAATCATACCGTAGGATTGGTAGCGCAGCAATGGTGACCAAGAGGGTGTGCGTTGGTGGGGGTGCAGGAGATGGGTGTGTTGCTACGCGGCGTCGGACGGTTTAAGAGTTGGTTGCTCGGCTGAGCAGTCCTGCCCCCGCTCCAAGCCTGGTGGTCAAGCCTAATCTACCTCCGCATGTGTTCTCACCAGGATATTATCTCTACATCTCCCATGCCCTCGTCATATCGCTCTCTCTAGCCCCCCCCCCTCTCTCTGAAACGTGTTTGGAGTTGTACAGAGTAATCGAAACCTGCCCGCCGTCGAATGACTTGGGTCGCCAAAGGTTCATGCACCACTTATTTAGTGGATATTTCTCGCTCTCTCCACACTTTTGTCTCTCTCAACCCTTTTCGATACTCTTGAGCAAGGCTCTTGTTCACTACCTACGGCTGAACCCTTCTCGACTACCATGAAAAACTCATGAAGGCAAGCGGCGGAAAAGGCAGGGTGGAGCATTAAAATTGTGACAAAACAAAACAAGGAAGAAGTTCATCCTGTGTGCCCGTTCTCCTGCTCTCCTGCTTGACTCCATCTGATACGTCGAGCACATATTACACCGAAATGTGTGGTAGACTGGCGCCAGAACAGACAAAGACGACACGAACAATCAACACAAACACTAACCCTGCCCCCCCCCCTCCCCCTCTTCCCCCCTCTCTTCCCCTTACCCCCCCCCCCTTTTCCCCCCTACCCCTCCCCCCCCACCCAACCCACCCCCCCCCCCTAAAAAACAATCTCAAACACCCCCCCCCTTAAAAACCCCCAATTTTTTCCCACCAAAACTATCCCCTTCCTTAACCACCTCCTTTCCAAATCCCTCACCTCCACCCCCTCAAACAAAATTTCCCCCCCCCTT